GTGGGCTTTGTTGCTTCTGAGCTTGATGGCCGCTTGATTACCTTCAAGCCTTTAAGACCCCAGACACTATACTTTTTGATAGCCGGGCACCATCAGCTTTCTTCGCCACATTTGCTTATGCTAGGCGTGTTTTTATCAGAGTTCCAGGAGTTAGTTGCTGAGTGAGTCAATGCACGTGTCCACACCCTTCCCCATCGTGCTCCACTCCCTGAATTAATCTCCTGATATAAGTCTGGACACGAAATATCGTTGCCATTTAAAATCGCATATTAAAGTCATTTTAACTGTACAATTTAACTACGTATATGATTTATCATTTATAGGTTGAAAAATATTGAAAAAGAAATTGAAGAGAAAAGAATGAAGGTTTTTAATATTCGGTCTGTAGATGACCCCCTTCGACTTGGTCAGCTCAAAGGAAATCACTTTGACATTGTCATCAGAAATTTAGCACAGCAAATAAATGATTCTGGGCAGCTGAAAGAGAGAATTTTGGAGGCAATAGAAAATGTTAAGGTAAGAAAATGCAATTTTAAAATAGAGTATTAAGGAAATCTTTCTATCTCCTCTCTTTCTACTATTGAAGCAAAAAAGGATTAAAAATCAACAACCTTTTTCTTAGAGCCAGTTGGCTTATATTTTGTACTTTCTTAATGTATGTTTTTATTAAAACAAGTATTAATGTGATTTAAAAGTACATTTACCAAGAATCTAATAAATATATAGACCAGAGATCATCTAGACCAAAGTCAACAAAAAGTTTTTCCTCCTTTTAATTAAAAGATCATTTTATTATGGCCTCCTACAGCTCTTATAACAATCCATACATCAATTGTATCAAGCGTATTTGTACATGTGTTTGCCACCATTATTTTCTAAACATTTACTTTGTATTTGAGCCCTAGGTATCAGCTCCTCTTTTTTCCCTTCTCTCCCCCTCCCACCCCCATGACCCCTGGATAAATTATAACTTATTTTTATTTTCATGTCTTACACTGAATGCTGTCTCCCTTCACCCACGGTTTCTGTGGTTCCCCTGGTGTGTGTGTGTGTGTGTGTGTGTGTGTGTATCATTGTGATACCACCTTCTTCCCCTCCTCTCCCCACTTCCCCCCTCCCCCCTTGATATTGCTACTCCCATTCCTGTTCCTGGATTCTGAATATTTTTTTAAAGGCCTAGATAACAAATATTAATTGTTTGGCTTTGCAGTGTATGTTTTCTGTAGTAATTACTCATGACTATGGTAGTATGAAAGCAGTTATAAATAATATAAATGAAGGAGCATGGGTGTATTCTAATAAAACTTTATTTACAAAAATAAGTGTCAAACCTGCATGGACTTGTGGGTCTAGTTGGCATACTCTTGATAGATCAGTAATCTTCAACCTGGGAAACATATATATATTTGTATATATATATTGCCTCTAGTGGTCAATCTCTACTGGAAAGAGAGAATTTTGGAGGCAATAGAAAATGTTAAGGTAAGAAAATGCAATTTTAAAATAGAGTATTAAGGAAATCTTCATATATCCTCTCTTTCTACTATTGAAGCAAAAAAGGATTAAAAATCATACTTGTTTTAATAAAAACATACATTAAGAAAGTACAAAATATAAGCCAATTGGCTCTAAGAAAAAGGTTGTTGATTTTTTTTAAATATATATTGCCTCTAGTGGTCAATCTCTACTGCTAAAACAATAAAATAACAGTTTGGAGTGGGGCTTCCACATCTGCTTAAAGACAACAACAACAACAAAAGTGCCCTAAGTGATTCTTCTGTAGTTAACCTTGAGAAACACTGGTCTAAGTTTCTTGGCACGAAGACTGTTAGGCACAATTTTATTAAAACAAAAAACTGATTTTTCATCTGTACTGTCTTATGCAAAAGAAAATAACTTCCAATCAAAGGTCTTTTGAGTCTAGCATATCCACCTATTGGTAGTAGTTCCTTGATTATATAGTCTTCCTATGGCTTTTCCCCCCTTGATCTACTAAAAATTCGATATATTTTGCAATCAACCTGTTAACATAATAATGTTTTTTAAAAGGGAGGCGTTTCCTCCAAGCTATGATAGAGTTTATTGATCACCTGTCCTTCATTTATTGCTTAAAGACATACGATTTTCAAATTTCCATTGGGAATCATTTTAGCTTTAGCAAAATTTTATTTAGTTTTATGATCAGGAAAAGGGGTTAAGAATCCCTCAAATCAATGAATCTTTGTTGTTGTTGTTGTTTTTGGATTAGGGAAAACATTATAGAATTGTTTATTGTAAAAAGAGAATTGTTTATTTATGATTTATTTTGTTGAGCATATGCACAGCAGAACAGGCCACCATTCCACAGTTTTCATTCTTGACATTCCTTTTAGCTGTGCAACCAGGCTCCCTTCGTTTTCAGTTTGTTCTCCTCCATTAGCATAAAGTCACAGTGCCACAAAGTTCCTAGAGAATCTCTCAGACTGCCCTTGTCCTTTTGAGCCCATATAGATGGGGATGAAAAGACTGCGACATTCAGGGCAACCATTCTTTATCGTGAAGTCGCTTGGTGTTTCGGAGCCTGAGAAGATATTTTTGGTTGGAGGTTAAAGCTGATCTCTGAGCGGTAGCTTACCCCTGTTTGATCAGAGTCTTTAAGAAGTTTTTGAAATTTTATTTAGACAATTACAACTCTGATTGCTATAAACTGAAAATTGTTTAGACTGCATCTAACCTTCAACCGTTTAAATGGATCATTTATACTCTGGCTACTTCAGGATACTATCTGATACACTTTTCTACCATTGAAGTAATTAAAAGTATTTAACGATGACATTTAATATGAATATTTATTTTATCTGCAAGTACTTTCTGTAAAGGGCATGAGGCAAGGACCCAGTTCCTTTAGTTCCGTGCCCATAACCATTTGTCTCAGCATTTCTTCATTGACTGATCCTTGATTTGGTACTCAATAATCACTGTTGGCTGAATAAGTGCAGTATAGAGAATCCTTTAATTTTTTAGGAAACCACCTGGGTCTGAATCTTTTTCTACATGAGAACACATTTAATCAATTTCTTTAATTACAAAAACAGAAAAGAATAAGGTGTTTAACTTCCCTCAGAAAAGACTTGATGGAGCTGTGGGAAAGGGACCCAGTTACATCCTCAAGGACTACCTGTACCACAAGCATTTCTCAGGCCATTTGGTCCCCGTCTGCATATTGCTGATTACATATTTTGACACAATAATTGTACTTAACAACACTTTTAATTAATTAAACATTTTTGTATTCACAGAGTAAAGGTTTTGTGAATTACTATGGACCTCAGAGATTTGGGAAGGGAAGGAAGGTTCATACAGACCAAATTGGATTAGCTTTGCTGAAGAGTGAAATGGTATGAATTTTAAAAATATGATCTTACCTGTTTGTCAGTTATACTTATTACCTAAGCCAGCTCTTTACTCTCAGTCCTAGCATATAAAGGCACATATGCACACACATGCCATGTATATTATACTATTAAATATTAACTGAACAGCACTTCAGTTCTGGGTAATAATCACAAAAAAGCAAACTGATTTGACCTTTTCTTGTGTTTAATACTTACTCTAGACAAAATGTGATTAGTCTATTAAAGCTCTAGTTTTAGAAAATCAAGAGGCCAACTTTTAGCCTAATATAAGAAAGACTAACAGCTGTTGAAAGGAATGGAGCTTCCTGTTTCTCACAGAATTTTAAGCAAATGACTACCCTCGTACCTCTTTAGGCTTCATATTCCTTCCTCCTGAATTATTTTGTTTAACTTTGTTATAGTATTACTTATTTATTGCTAAATGACAACTTAAGTCACAACTGAAAGCCTGAATCAGTAGTTACTGTCTCATGTGACTTAGGCGCATGCATGTTCTTCCTGTCTCGTGGTGTGTTCAGTCTCTGGCAGACTACACACTGCTGTCAGGGCTATTGTCTCTGAAGATCTGACTCGGGCTAGAGGATCTGCTTTGCATAGCTCTTTGGCGAGGTTTCGGTCTATTGCTACACGCTATGGATACCATGGGTTTCTCCAGGGAGAGCAGTCCAAGACGCAACCAAGTGAGGCAGATCGAAACAGGAACCACAGTGTCTTTTATGACCTAATCTTTTTTCCCCCCAACATTTTGATTGGCACATAAAATATCATACAATTGAATAATCCAATCGTTCAATCATATCAAGGGGAATTGTACCATCAGCTCCATATCTATCATAGTGTATCCCCCACCCTGCATAGTTAAATTACCTTTAAAACGAGTTGTGCAATCATGATCAGTTCTAGTGCTCCACCTTCCCCCCTCCTTCTTTCATTATTTACTCCTGAAATCCCCTTTCCCTCCCTATCACCCATCCCCCACCCCTGCATTCCCTATAACACCTCGTATCAGTTATTATCACTATATTTCCATTTCTCCTGTGCTTCACCACTGGGAAACCCAAAAGAAGACAATGAAAAACAAATGGCGCTAAGGTGGTAAAGATAAGATCATATCGATATAAGGACAAAAATACAAATAATGTGTGAGAGGGAGAAGACCCCATCAACATTCAAGAAGCCAGGGAAGAAATTTATATCATGTAACCTCTTAAGAGATATTTGATCTAGAACAGATTCAGGTTGGGTCTGTAGGGAGGCCAACTGGCCAGATATTGAGCCCCATTCTGTATAATCAAGATTACAATGGTCTGCCTTTTAGTAAGGCTGCTCTAGCCTTTGGCTAGAGCTGATTTTCCAGCAGCTGAGGCTGACTAGATAGTCTGCATAAGAGGTTTGGGTTCCCACTATCCGCCATAGCCGTCTCCAAATTGGGTGTTCATAGTCGTACCTCTGATATTTTTCTTTTCGCCATATTCAAAGTTTGTAATTGACGTCTTTGGATCACTAGCTGATGTGCTGCTTCTGTGTGGACTTAGTTGACTCCTTGCTTAGATGGCTGCTTGCTTGAATTATAAACCTTTTAGACTTCAGACACTATTCTGATTGATAGGCAGGCACCATCTGCTTTCTTTGCCACACTTTGCTGTAGCACCCTTATCTTCAGTGATCATTTCATAAAGATGAGTACTGAGCTGGGTCATGATGTAAGAATTAATTGTTCTTAAATTGGAGCTAGGATTCAATGTGAGCCTAGACTCATTCCTGGAGCTATACTTTTTTTTTTTTTTTAATTTTCTGTTACTTGGGAATTAATACATATGTCATATCATTCCATAGTTCAATCATGTCAAATATAATTGTATAATTGCTTCTGTAATGAGTCTCCAAACATACTTTTCCTTCCTGGACTTCTTGATGTCATCTCTTTCCTATCTGTCCCACCCCTCTACATCACCCCTCCCCTGAAACCCTTGTTCTGTTTCTTTCCCTATAGGCTTAATATCCTTGGGTTTCATTTACCAAAAAACAGAGAAACAAATGACAAAACTTCAAGTGGGTGACCCCCAATGACGACACACCTTTGAGTTACACCTTAATACACACAGGCATAAGCAACATATAACATAATGGCTATCACAGGATTGCCGGAATAATACGTTTTTTAATACGGCCTCCGAGGCGTTGATGTAGCGAGATCTTGTTTGTCCATCAACCAAGAGCACATCACTCTTGTTACCACTCTTCGGTTTCCTCAGACTAGGACCTCCTCTCGAAAGTGACGCACTTTCATTTCTGCCGCAGTCTATTACTCACACAACCCTGCACATCGTGGGAGGGGACCACACAAAGACAAGGCTACAGCATCATTGGGAGCCCTCTTCACATGGCTTCCCCAACCAAAATGCCATTCTTTCTTTCTTTTGCTTGATGCATCCTTTATTTCGCACCAAACTTTTGACGTCTCAACTTAAATATCAGCAGTATCTGAATCCCTGAGACAAAGTGAATGTTTATGTTGTGACCTGGTAGCCTCCTGGATCCTTCCTCGTGGGTTTCATCAACATATTATTATTTATTCAGTCTTTGCCAGTAGACAGCAGACTTGGAGAGGGCAGCGGCCCATGTCTTGCTTGCTCAACCTTCAGCATCCACCACTCTGTCTATAGAACATGATGGTGTTTAATGCTATTTGTTTGAATGAAGTAGCTTCTTAGTAAATATTTGTTGACATAATGAATCCCTTGAAAGTAGATTGAGTGGGGTCCTGGGCTAACTGTCCCATTTGGGGGATTCTTACTCTAAGACACAATCGGAAATGAATCCTAGTGATTAAATACAGGAACTAGGTATAGATGCCATTTTAAAAAAGTGAAAAACAAGCATTTTTTCATCTATTTAGGCGTGAAAAGAAAATATTAAAGTTAGCTATTAATTTTGAGACCAAAGAATCCAGGGAATTAAAAGTAATAATGCAATCTAAATGGTCTGTCATTTCTCTGTTTCTTCACCCATTTTGTTGTGTGTTCAGTAAGTTAGAATATACATAGATAGACACATAGATGGGGAAGTATGTTACATAATCTGCTAACTGCAAGAACAGCGGTTCAAACCCATCAGTTGCTCCTTGGGAGAAAGACAAGACCGTCTGCTCCTGTCCACATGTACAATGTCAGAAATCCTAAGGAGCAGTTCTGCCCTGTCCTTCGTGTTGCTGCCTGTCAAAATCAACATGATGGCATTGGGTTTCATTTGACATATGAGTTTGTCTACTTGTTTACACTTTGCATGCATTGTATAAATAAAGGTAAAGAATGAATGAAGAGGGACATAGTATTTTAAAGCAATCTATGAAGTTTCTTGTAGAGAAGGCTTATTTATAAATTTAGGATTGACTGTTTACTTTTCTAAAGCCTAAAGTTATATTGAAAGCATAAAATATTCTTAAAAGTCTGTTTTTGTTTTGTTTTGTAAGATGCTAGTGAATAACCATCTGTTTTTAAGCAAATAATTTATCATTTTTGTCATGTAATGCGTATTTTCTTTCTTGGTTTCACAAGGTGAAAGCTGTAAAGTTATTTCTTACACCAGAAGACTTGGATGATCCTGTAAATAGAGCAAAGAGATATTTTCTTCAAACTGGTATTTAAAAGCTTTTTGCCTCATGCATATCCATGCAGACACGTACTATATGTAAACGTTTTGTTAGGGGAAGGTCATGCTTTGCAGCGTAAATGTGACAAGAAATAGATTTGGGATGCACTCGACCTGTAATCATTTTATTACATGTCCAACGCACTGTATTTTTGGCAATATCTCAGGGACTTTTACCTGGCTTAACCCAAGCTTAACTGATTTGTGCCATTCAGCAATAGTTTAGAGGTTATATGGGTAAAAAAGAAATATACCAAACTCTCTGAGGAAATGTTGTGGTTAGGTACATTCAAATTGACCTTAATTCATAACAACTCTGCATGATGGAATAGAACTACCTCATACTGTTTTCTAGACTTTAATCTTTACAAGGGAAGACTGCCAGACCTTCCATAGAACTGCTGGGAAGATTCAAACTACTACTAGTCTTTCACTAGCAGCCAAGAACAGAGCCTGGTTCCGATAGGACTTCTTAGGGGCTCCAAAAAATTCTAAACTAATACTGATGGCAGCATGGTACACTCCGATGAGACTTACACTGAAAAAAGTTAACTTGTGATATTCAGTGCTGGAGAGTGATTTTCCTCTATTTCCCATGTAGCCCCGACTGTCACCTTGAAGTGTCTTGAGTGTATCGATGAGGATGATGGTATTTGTGTAGACTACTTAATGGGAGGCACAACCAAGAAGTGATCATGGGAATGGCTTCTGGAGTCACGCTGTTAGGGCTTAATCTCAGCTGTAGTCCTTCTTCTCAAGGGGTCCTGGTGTCATAATGGTCACGAGTTGGGCTGCTAACCACAGGGTTGTTAGTTCAAAATTACCAGCCACCCTGTGGGAGAAAGATAGGACTTTCTAATGCCATCAGCAGTTATAGTCTTGGAAACTCACATGGACGGTTCAACCTGTCCTATAGGGTTTCTATGTGTCGACCTTGACTCATGGCAGTGAGTTAGTTTTCCCAACCGTTTGTGCTCCTGCACGTGATTTCATCTCATTATCGTAGTTCCTTATTTGTAGCTTGAGGCCAATTATGGTACCTAAAAGGTGGCTAACTGAGTCCCAGTGATGCAGGCTAACTGAAAGGTGAGGAGCTCAAACCATCACCATCACATCAGTTTTCTCCAGCAGCACTCCATGGAGGAAATTGCCCCAGTTGGCTTCAGTGATGCTTACAGCCGAGTGAACCGTATGGGGCGGTTCTGTTCTGTCCTATAAGTGAAAATTGACTTGGTGGCACACAGCAGCAACAACAAAAGATTATTAAGAGATTTAAATGAGCTAGTGGTCCTGCGGGCTAGGTGTACTACCAACCTCAAGGTCAGTAGTTCAAACCTACCAGCTACTCCACAGAAGAAAGATTAGGCTCTTTTTCCCCATAAAAATGTATAGTTTCTGGAATCTTATTTAGGGTTGTAATGAATAGGAATTGGCTTGATGGTGGTGGGTTTGCTTTTTAATCATAGATATAATACTCTTCAAGTATTTCCTGGTACACTGTAAATGCTATTTAAAATGATTTGTATTTAAATAACAATAACCATTATACTAAGGCATATGCAAGGCATTCATATATTTAGCCAACATACATGTGTATGTTGAATTTCACTCACATTGAAATAAAGGATATCATGATATCCTTTATTTTATCATAAATGATCTACATTCATTTTTAATTGTATGCATATTAAATATGTGTAATCATTATGTGATTTATTTGCTTTTATCTATTGTAGAGTACCCAGAAGAGAATTTACTAATGTCAATGATTTTAAACTTTAATGTGCATAAGAAGAGCCTGGTAAATTTACTAAAAAGCTGTTTCCAAGTCCTTTCCTGAATAAACATCTTTATGGTGGAGTCTGGTCATTGGCATTTTAAATTAAGACATTCTGTTACTAGCAAGGTTTAATAGTAAACCTGAAGGATCTAGATCTCAACTGTTTCTTGTTAAAACTATTCTGTCTGTATAAGTACATGTTGTTGAGAGTGTTAGATGCCGTCAAGTTGATTTTCAGTTGTAGCGACCTGTGTGACAAAGTCCAGCTGCCCCCCAGGGTGCCCTCAGCTGTAATCTGTGCAGGTGCAGGGCCAGGTCATTCTTAGGGAGTGCCTGGCCCCTTGGAAGCACTCATTAACCTTTTGGTCAGCAGCCAAGTGCTTAACTATCGGACCACCAGGGCTCCTTGATAAATGTCCACAAGAGCTCTTTGAATACTCGTCACTGACTCGATGACAATGAGTTGAGTCCCTACCAGGCCAGTATTCTTTATTTTGTGGGATTTGGGGTTTTAATCATCTTAGGTTATCTCCATTGTACGAGAGGGTACCCGCCTATATGCCCCCCCCCCCAAATGGATTTTTTCCCCAAAGCTGTGTATTAAAATTTTTTTTACAAAACAACCTTGGCACCTTCAAAGTACTCTCCATTACACCTCATACATTTGTCAAATCTGCGATTCCATCCTTGGAAACATTTTTCAAACTCATCTGTTTGCATGGCTGACAGCACCTCCCTCATGTTTTTCTTCACCTCTTCTGCTTCATCAAATTGCTGTCCTTTCATGCCCCTCTTCATTCTCAGAAACAAAAAGAAATCTCATGGAGTGAGGTCAGGTGAGGAAGGTGTGTGGGACAAGAGAGGCATGCTGTTTTTACCCCAAACTGGAGCACTGAGATGGCTGCGTGTGCAGGTGCATTGTCATGGTGGCAAACCCTTTCCCCCATCTGCCACAAATCAGGCCTTTTTGGCCATACACTGTTATGCAATCTTTTCAGAACCTCTAATAGAAAGCTTGATTAACAGTCTGACCTGGCGGAAGAAACTCCAAATGCACCGTCCCCCTCAGGTAAAAAACAAACAAACAAATGAGCATCATCTTGATCTTTGGTTTCACTTGATGAGCTTCATTTGGGCGAGGTGACATCTTCTACTGGCTTGATTGAGTTTCCCCTCGGGGCTGTAAGATTAGCACCAGGTCTAGGGACCAGTAATGACCTTGGAGAAACACGCAGGGTCGCACTGGAGCTGTTCTTTCAAAGCATGGTGTATTTCCAGTTGCTGCTCTTTGTCCTGCTCGGTCAGAACCCGAGGCACACATTGCGCAGCAGCCCTCTCCTTCCCACGTCTTCCGTTAAACTTGCTGGACTGAGCTCCCAGATGGTCTGGATAACTTCCCCATCTCTTCAATGATCTGTCTTCGGTCTTGGAGCAGAAATATATGCATTTGTCAATATTTTCTTCTGTTAGGGAAATTGACGGATGTCCAGAACAAGGTTTGCCATCAATCCACATTTCACCTGTTTTGAAATTAGAAAACCACTCTTACCCTTGAAGTTTGCCTTAGAAGCTGTGTGTTCAATATCACAACAGTTTCTGCAGCATTTTTCTGGAGCAGGAAACAAAATTTCACAGCCACATGCTGTTCTCTTAAATTGGCCATCACACACCCACACACAAAAGGTTGGAGTGAAATTGCTTTTACGGAAAAATTCACTGGGTGCACTAACTCAGAGTGAGTTGCTAGATGCTGCCTAGAGGGGAAAATGCGTACGTCAAAAGGTCTGCCTAGTGGAGCTCTTTTCCGTTTTTTTTGTTTGTTTGTTTTTTGGGGGGGAGGGAGGGCCCCCACCTTGTAGAGTAAGGGACCCTGGGAAGCCTTACTAATGTTGTTCTTCTTTTGTTTTTATTTGATTTATTTTAAAAGTTTATTTATTTATTTTAAAACTCCTTTGGTTTTTATTTTTAAAGCAAAAGTAAATTAGAGGACTCTTAGGTTTAATGATCTCTTACTTAAAAAACAAAAAGAAAAATTACCACTCCCCACCTCCCCACCCCGCTAGTCCTCCCCCAACCTCTGAGCTGGTGCTGAGCATCACCTTCACGATGACGCTGGTGAGCAACCACCGTCCACTGTCTCCCATCGACTTGCCTGGCAAAGGTCTTATAACGGTGTTTCTCGTCACCGCAGGGGATGCCAAGGGCACACACTCGCTGATGCCGGACTTCAGGATTCGGGAGAGAGCCGTGCTGGAGTCATTGCATCGCTTTGGCGTGACAGAGGAAGGCTGTATCCAGGCGTGGTTCTCCTTTCCCCATTCAATGCGCATATTCTACGTTCATGCATATAGCAGCAAAATCTGGAACGAGGCAGTGTCCTATAGGCTCGCCACCTACGGGTCCAGAGTGGTGGAGGGCGATTTGGTGTGTTTGGATGGAGATGTCGACGACGCGCCCTTCCCAAATAGTAGAGTAAGTAAGGTGGCCTCACTCTTCCACGGGTAGTCATCACCCCAGAGCAATGAGAACCTGTGGGCAAAGTTTATTTACCTGTTTAATTTACTACTATTGGCCCCTGCTCCTGCTTTTCTGCTGTCAGCTGAGGCTTAGCCTGTATCAGACAATGAAGAAATGAAACCAGTCAGTGGAATGAAGTGAAAAGTACAGAGGTGGTCAAACACCATTAAAGAACGCTTCAGTACAGAACGAACAAACATCAATAGTACACCGATCAACCCACTTAAAAAAAGACAGGAAAGCGTCGCCGAGGAGGCTGCCATTCCAACCCACTCTGGGGAGTCTCTCCCAGGCCCCAGGGAATGAACTGCTGTTGCCGACCTGGGCCCTGGAGAGCTGATTCTCCGCTTTTATGTTACTATCCCCAGGAAAGGGATTCTTCAGTGTGTTTATTTTATAGAAATGTGATTTTTACACTTGCGCTTCCTTTTCTCAACAACGTTTCAGAGATCTATCCATATACATCTATCTTACTCCTTTTAATTACATAGGTTTTGATTTTTTTATTTCAATTTTTTATGGAGCCTGTAACTTTGAAATTCATGCTGTTATCGTTTAATGCAGAAAAACCTCAAAAGCATCATCTTTTCCAACAAGGGCCAGGGATTCCGGTCTTGGTGATAATGAATGGCCTGCTTTGGGTGACATGTCTAGATGCAAACCAACCCTGGGGATCTGGAGTCTGTGATAGGCTAAGCCGGTGGTACAAGGGCTCCTTTCTGGGAGTATCTCTGAACCGGGAAAACGAGAGTGCCAGGAAAAAGGAGAGAGTAAGGATTAATTAAACCAAAAACTATAATTGAGGCTTGCTTTGCTAGGGCATTAAATGGCTGGTGTAGAAATATTCGATAAGAAAATGTTCACGAGGAGGCAGCATAAATTAAATCTCTTGCTGTCATGTCCATTCTGGCCAACGGCAACCTCCTGTGTTCGCGCAGTAGACTTGCTCTCCATAGAGCTTTCTCGGCAATAATCTTGACCGAAGCAGATCTCACAGCCTTTCTTAATGGCGGAGTTTGCACCACAAACTTTTGGCTAGTAGTTGAGCCCGAATCATTTGTGCCACCTTGAGACTGTGCTTCAGTTATTAAGAATGGCAATTGAATTCAGACACAATCACAGACTATGTAAAAAGGTAAAAGGGAAATACCGCAGCATCGTGGCTTTATTTCATCTACTGTGAATGGAGAAAGAGAGGCATGTCAACAATTTCTTTGTGGTCAATAATGAAAAATCATTGGTTTTTACACCTTCCAGAAAACAAAGATCAATTTGAATATGCTCTGAGCATTGTTTTGTAAGTCACCCGTTTCTAATGAAGATTTTTAAAGGTTACTTTAACGAGACTTAGCAGCTCTCTCTGAAATGCCTGCCTTCTAAAATTTCCTTGCTCCAAATACATTTACAAAGACAGTTTGTAAACAGAGTGTGTCTGTTTTTCTTTTTGGAGATAAGGTGAACACAGAACCTTTTCTTCTCCGTAACTTCTTAGTGCCCCTTTTACTCGCAGTAGAAGGCATCTTTGTGTGTTTCAAGGCCCACCTTTGTATGCTGTTACGTAGCACTGAGAAAAGACAAGGCAGAACCTAGAGGCTCAAAACTTGAACTATGAAAAGGTAAAGGACAGAATGCAAATTTTAATAAATGTTATATGGAGCATTTAATATTTTGCATCTGAAAAACTGAAAAATTACTCTGACTTCTTATTTTGATAGAATTACTAGAGACTGGTAGTTACATACTCTGTTGTCAATTTGAAACTTAAGAGTGAAAGGGTGGGGTTTAGCTTGTCAGTCAGGTTGCAGCTTGATGACCTCATTTGGAGGCGCTAAGGAGATAAATAGCTCACTGGAGCCAGGACGCACACTCACTCCCGACGTGACATTCCTCTTGAGAAGACACAAGGAGCTATGCTAGAGCCCTGGAGCTGAAGGAACCACGTGGAGACCCTATCAGCGCTGAGATGCTTCCACTACTACTGGATCTGCAAGGCTTTCCACCCACTGGCCTGTGATTTTCCTGCGTTCAGCATCATTGCATGTGTTCCATGAGGCTGAAGAGGAATTTATGGAATGGTATCAGACATATGGGCTAATATCAGACTTAATCTGGCCTGGCCTGGTATGTTGTTCTCAATTTTCAATTGCTCTTTCTTATACACGTATGAATGTCTATGAATTTGTTTCTCCAGTCTACCCAGACTAATACAGATAGGCATATTTTTATTTCAAGACACTTGGTAGATTCTCTGGTGTACAAGATGGAAAGAAGTGAGTCAGATGGTTAAAAATTTAGGTAAAATTTGTGTTTGGGGAGCAGCCATATTGCCAAAGCATTTTTGTTATTTAATTGACTGCTATCTAGCTGGAGGGAGTTTTCTAAAGATCGGTCATGGTGTTCTTTCTGGCCAGGTTTTATTCAGGCTTATTAACAACCTTCGATATGCAAGTGACGTAATTTTGCCCACTAAAAGGGAGGAAGACTTGAAACACTTGCTGATGAAGATCCAGGATTTCAGCTTTCAACTTAATTGTAAACAAAACAAAAATTCTCACAGCCAGACCAATAGATAACATCAGGAAAAATGTAGAAAAGATTGAAGTTGTCAAGGATTGGCTCCACAATCAGTGCTCATGGAAACAGCAGTCAGGCGATCAAATGACACATTGCATTGGGTAAATCTGTAGCACAAGGTGTTGAAAAGCAAGAATGCTTCAATATGGCATAATGATCAACATTTTTTGGATTGACATAAATCTGCTGCCCGAGACTTCTTTAACGTGTTGGAAAGCACAGATGACACTTTAGGAACTGAGATGCACCTGACCCAAGACAAGGAATTTTCATTTGCCACATGTGCATGTGAAAGTTGGCCATTGACTAAAGAAGATAAAAGAAGCATCAATACATTTGAGTTAAAGTGCTGGTGGGGAATTTAGAAAGTACCATAGATAGACTGGCAAAAGAAAGAAATTTGTCTTGGAAGAAGTACAACTAGAATGCTCCTTAGAAACAAGGAGGACAAGATGCCATCTTATGTATTTTGGACATGTTACAGAAGAGACCAGTCCTTTGGTAAACTAGACGTGCAGCAAAAAAGAGGAAGCCCCAAAGCAGCTGCATCGGCACAGTGGCTGCGATGAAGGGCTCGGAGCTAACACTTGTGAGGGGGGCACGGAACTGGGCAGTATTTCATTCTGTTGTCCATAGGGGTGCTAGGAGTCAGAGCTGGCTTGAAGGCACCTAACACCAATAACAACAACAACTCAGTAATTAGCAAAATGTTGTGAAAGACTAAAATCAGGAAGTGATCATTCAAAAGAAATCATAAACTCATGTATTTCCTGGTCGGACCACATCTGGGATTTTATGTCCATTTTTGAGTAGCTGTTAACCAACCAACAAACCCAAAATGAGAAATAAAAGAACATTACTAATAAAAGTAAGAAGTAAGAGGGAAGCAAGCAAATCTAGAGGGGATCCAGCCTCTATAAGAATGACAGATGCTGTAGAAATAGGGAATGAAACAAATCCTGGTGGGATAGTTAGTTGCCTTTACACTTGAGTTCTCATGTGGAAGAAAGGGCAGACTTATTCTTTGACATCCCAGAGCCACGTCACCCAGGCTGAGAGTATCATACATCTCTTCTTGATAACAACTGTTGTTGTAGTGTTTGCAATTGAGTCAGTTGTAACTCAGAATGACTCCTTGCAACTCTGTCACAGTAGAACTGCCGTCTAGAGTTTCCTAGGCTGTCATAATTATAGAAGCAAGTCATCTGGCCATCCTCCGGGGAAGCCATGGAATGGATTTGAATTGCCAACTTTGCAGTTAACCATTGAGCGTTTTCGTAGACATGCTCACAACTTGCTGTATTAAGATGCTATTGGATGCAGAGTTATTTCAAAGGGGCAGAGTTTTGGCTCTGCTTCATAATTTAGAAAAATATTGTTGGTGACGAGATGAAAGCTGTGCTCTCAGAGGTGTAAGTCGTCCAGTATTCTTGGTGTATTACAACGTTCATTAACATGGGTTTAAAGTGCCAAAAAATTCTCATTTGTATTGAGTTCATTCTTCCAGAAATAAAATGGGAAAGATCTTGTGTGGGCAGACCCATATTCAACATAAAAGTTGTATTTTTCCATAACAGATTTAGGGAATTGATGGACTTTGGAACATGTGGGTACCATCTATATTTTTATTTATTTTTATAAACAGGTTCATCTAGTAACTGAAGAAGAGGAATCAGCTAATATTTACACAATAAATCAGGTAAATTTACTGAAAATTCATATCACTTGGATGTCAATATAGACATTTACTACTCCCCCCCAAATGTTGATCCTGAGTCTCTCTTAAAATATACTTAAATTAATAAATAGTTATATATATAGTAAAAATCATCCTTCTCAGTTTACAGTTCTATGAGATGTGCTAATTGTTTACCTAACACAAATACTGACATAGAACAATTCCATGTCTCCCTAACATTTCTCATGCCTTGACCGTAGGTAACCTCTCTCTATATCCTCAGCCACGGATGCATGTTCTGTTCAGATAGTTTGGTCTTTGAAGCAATGTATTATTAGTCTGTCGCATGTGTTGTCTGGCTTCTTTAACCTAACATCGTGGATTTGAAATTTATCCATGTTGTTTGTTTGTATTGTGAGTTTTTTGCCTTGTTCCTTTATCCACTTGGGTAAAGGTACCAGTCTAGAAAAAGTGTTTAGAAGTCAAAGCATACTGCAATGTGTTTTTCTAAGCAGCAGGGAAAATAAATATCATATTTGCTGCTCCTTGTTCACTTTCTTGCTTTTGAAGAAGGAAGGGTTTTAATTATTCACCAGAATACCAGTTTGTGATTGAGCAGTCAGTCTGGATTTTTTTTCCAGAATGTCTACCCTTTATGTTATAGAAAGAATATGTTTATAGTATTGCATTATTCTTTATAGATTAAGTCTCCATTGACTAATTAAACGTACTCAAACTTCTTTGCCCTTCTCTTTGTATAACTGTGTCTTGTCCAATAATGATAGATCTGAATGGTTCACCTTGGTTATTGTGAGAGCCCTGATTCTAGTTGCTTCTTTTATTTCCCTAGAAGCATTAAAAATAATGTATTATTCAATAGGATGTATTAGGGTGATTTTAATACTGAGATTATGACATTGTTTTATAGACCAGGTCTCAGCCATAAAAGTAAATTTAAAATATGATTACACATCCGATATATGTATATATTATGCCTCTCCCACCTCCCTTTCTCTTTCACAGGTGGTTCTTCCAGTGCTTGGGTACAACATTCAGTACCCAAGGAACAAAGTTGGGCAATGGTACCATGAACTACTTGGCAGAGACGGACTACAATCTTGTAAATTCAGAGTACCTGCTCTGAAATTAAATGCTCCAGGATGCTATCGACAGATACTGAAATATCCTCATAATCTCTCATCCCAGCTGATCGAAGAGTCTGATACGAGTGTCCCGACAGAAGGTTCTTGCATCAGTGGAGCAACTTTATCTTTAGTGATCTCTTTTGATCTGGACTCTTCATGTTATGCTACAGTTTGTTTGAGGGAAATAATGAAGCATGATGTTTAAAACCAACTATTTACCCTTCACATAGTTGTATAGATGTTGTTCTTGGAAGGAAAAGAAGGAAAAAAATTGCTTGATTACCTGCCATGTTTTAAAAGCATCATAATTGTTGTCTCCTTCAAAACATCTAATGCTAGAATATTCCAGAGGCGTGTTGCTAATAAGTGACAATATCTGAATGTAAGTTCAGATCTGCCTGACTCCCAAGGGTATGTTCTTGCTGTTATATCACAGTTAGTACCCTCCACTCTGTGTCAAAAGCTACAATATTTTGGGACCACTAATAACATACACTAACTCCAAGATAACATTAAAGACAAAAACAGTTTAAGGAATGTTTATATCCTCTAGGTCTTTGCTGAAAATGTAGGTGAAATTAGGTTACAATAAAAGTATATGGTTGGAAAGAGAGAGGAAGCATTTTGTTATTTATCATCACCCTCCATGTTTTTTTAAATTGCTGATAAGAAAAATACACTAGGTGAATTTCCCCATTCATGATAGCTAACCCAGGTGGTCATTACCCCTTAATTTCATCCAATTTTATCTCATAAATCATTACCCTTAGCCATTTCATACCAGTTCAAATTGGAGGCAACAAAGACTGGTCGATACTAGCATAAGGAAGTAAAATTCAAAAATGAAAGAACCTATCTGCATCGCAGTGTTTGCTTATCACAGCATATTTAGAAATCATTTCAAAGGCTAGCATTAGCTGGCTTAAGTAAACTATCATCTTGATGGAAAGACATGTAACTATTAAAAATGGCAATGAAGATTTTAATATGAGAAAATGCTTCTCCCTAATAATAGTAATAATAAACATACATGCATGCATATATACATAAACAAATTCAAATATATGAGAGCAGAAAATCCACGGGAAAATTCTATTATCTTCCAATGCTACTTTTCAACAAACTTTTTGAAGTGTGTGTGTGTGTGTGTGTGTGTGTGTGTGATGATCCAAAAATTTGTGGAAATTTTCCATTATTATTTTTTATTTCATTTTTCCATGAACTCTCTGAAGTTGCCTTCTACATATATTACACATGTAGTAAAAACATTAAAAGCAGCTTTTGAAAATGGAACGGTTTAGCATAGTGATTAAAAGCATGGACTTGGAGACAAAATTCCCTAAGTTGATCTTTGACTCTGTCACATAGATCAGTTTATAGATAAAAGCTTGGATAAGAATTTGACACTTCTATGCTTCTGTTTCAGCATCTCTAAAATGAAAACATTAGTATGATGTACTTCATAAGAGCACTGTGAGGCTTTGATGAGTTAATATATGTGAAATAGCTGGCAAAAGTTCTGGACACTTACTGTTGAGTGTTTGCAGATGACGAAGTTGAAAGGGAACAGAAGAAAATGAAAATGTCATACTGTTGAGATGATGGTTTTGGTGATTTTTCAAAATATGAGTTCCTTTTTGGCATCTATTTCTAGCAGTGATCTCAGGACATAAAAATTAGAGATTGTTTCACATTGATTTTTAACAAATGACCTTAAATCAAACATTTAGAAGATTTTTAATATTAATGAGAATTAAATGTCATATGAGGTAGTTAGAAAGTAGTGAGACATCATTCATGGAAGAAACACACCATCCTGTATGATCAAAGGATTATAAATAAAATCCAAATCGGAAGGAGTGAACGGTATCAGAGCTTAAATTCTGCATGCCCACTGTGCAGAAGACTGTGGATGACAGTGGAAGCCCAAAATTCATTTGCAGAGTTTTCACATGGATTAAGTCTCTGGTGAATCCCCTCTGAACATAGTTCAGGGATGTGAATAGCCTTGCTATCAGACAACACTATAAAGTCAATGATAGCAGATGGAGTTAGGTTAAAATCTAACACCTTATCATTGGATATCCCTTTGATCTATTTTAAAGGTTCCGTTTTTAATATTTTCTGCTTTCTTTTTGATTGAGGTTTTTCTAGTCAGTGTTGTCTTTTTTATTTATATGTTTGTTTGCTTCCTGTCTGTGTTTTATATGATTTTCTGTATATGACATCCTGGGAAGGTAGATGTATAGAGACATTAACTGCATTGATAATCACCTAGGGGCATGGCAGGGGAGGTTGAGGGGAAATGAGGGGCTCCCAACAATGAGTCTGGGAAGAAAACCTGAAATTGATTGTGGTGATGATTGCACAATTATTAATATGACTGATTAAATTGTATGATATGTGATGTATATACCAATAAAAGTACTTTTAATAAAGATAGTCTTCCAAAATATTTGTAATGATAAAAATTAGATTGTATTTAATGTGATTAATTATTTATATATATAATTAGAAAATTAGTTGTATACATCATTTTAAAATTATATGCATTTATGTTATAAGAAGAAATTTTAAAATATGTTGAGTAGCAATTTAAAAATATGAACGCTTTAAAATGTGCCATCATCTCTATTATTTCCTGTAGATGGTGCTATAATTTTAGAAATCTTATAGACATGGATTTATAAGTTTTGTGAATACTATGACTATATGTAAAGAATTCATTTTATATATATTTTGTCACCATAAAACATACTGGCATTGTTGATATGAAAAATTATTTTATACACCACTACTATTTGCTGCTATGCTATTCATTTTGGATTTTAAGGACTTTGGTATATATACTTTAGACCACTTGAGGGCAGTCCCTTTGATGGTTTGTATTTTTTTGTATTGTGCCAAGCCTTCAGGAGTTTGAGTGTTGGATTTGTTCGAATTGTCGGGACTATATTTGAAACTGAGCAATACTGTCTAAGGATCAGTAACATAAAACCAACTTGGAAGCTGTTTTTGTATAGATAAAACCACCTGATGTTCTGTGAATTGTATTGCACTGCCGTCGAGTGGACCTATAGGACAGGTGTCCCATGAGTTTCCGAGACTGTTTATGAGAGCATAGAAAGTCCTGTCTTTCTTCTCTGTGGTCTGTCTGCTCTGTGCAACGGCTGGCGATTTTGAACTGCTGACCTTTTGGATCACAGCCAAATGCTTAACCACCTTGCCACCAGGAGTCCATTGAGTTATAATGGATACGCTTATATAACTTTTTAATCAACTAACATTTTTTTTGGTCTGTTATGCCCATTGATGTACTCTGTTGCTAGGTACTATTTTATGTGTTTTTGAAGGCAAGAAACAGCAGGTAGTGTACTGTCTTATTGAAGATCAAACTGATTATTATAGGCTGGGTTCTCTAGAGAAACAAAACTGATAAAGCATACATATTTTGAGAGGGAGGGAGAGGGAGAGAGATTTATCCTTAAGGAAATGGTTCACACGGTTGTAAAGACTGGCAAATTCCAAGTCTGTGTGCAGAAACGGCTTGAGAAAGGGTCCAATCTAACCTACTCTGGCTTTTATATCACCACAAGGGGGAGGGGAGACATGCCTCCACCCTCCCTATTTCTTTATCCTCTTCTTCGGACATCGACTGTTTCTCCCACAGCACTTGACCTGTCTACTGGATTCAATAACTAATTGCAATGGCCACACAGAGCTCATAAATTCACAATTCAGGGGGTTTATTAGGCGAGTTAACAAGTTACCACCAGCTAGGATCAGAGAACAGTCAGGATGTAGTCATTGATCCACATCGGCGCCTGTCCTCAGCCAGCAGGCAAATCTTTCTGGTGCTTGGCCTCTTAACCAAAGCCCCATATCTGACCTTGGGCTTCCCTATTGCTCCGCGGCATGGGTCAGACATACCTCTACTTCTTTCTTCACCCTGTTCTGACACCAATTGTTCTGGCACTCTATTTCTATGCTGGGATCCATAATTCATTGCCATGGTCACAATTATGGAAGTTCATTAGGGAAGGTAATAGATTACCAACAGTAAGGATCAGTCAACAGTAAGGATATAGTCATTGGTCCACAGAAGACCTCTCCTCAGCCAGTAACCAAGTCTCTCTCGCCCTCAACCTCTCAGCCACTTGGCCTCCGCCTGTGTGGATCTGTTGTTCTGACTGTTGTCGAATCTCATGGCCCCATAATCTTCAGAGCTGCCCTGCCCTTCTGTCTCATGGTTTCCTTACCTTGCTCTCCAGTCTCAGCCTGGCCGGTTTGGTCTCTCCCAGAGTCTTTGTGCCACAGTCTCTGGTGCCTCTGGCCCTGGCCTCCACCACTGCAAACAGAGATCTTGAAAGTGTGCTTCTGATGCTCCTGGGATTTTTTTCTGTGTTGGAGATAGCTCTTATTCACAGATGGATGGGCTTGATGGAAGGGTGGGTTTTGTCTTTCAGCCGACCATCCCCCCAAGGAAGCAAAAAGTGTAACTTGGTTCACACCCACTACTAAAGTCAAGACTCAATCCCACCTTAATCCTGTCTATTAGCATAACAGAAAAACTCAGAAACATTCACTATCATATGGACCCTATAGGACAGGATAGAACTGCCCCTGTGAATTCCTGAGACTGTGAATCTTTATGAGTAGAAAGCCCCGTCTTTCACGTGAGTTGCCACTGGTGGTTTCAAACTGCTGACCTTGAAGTTAGCAGTCCAGTATGTAACCATTATACCACCACGTTACAGAGAAAGCCCTTTAAAAATGGGATAATAGCCACAGGCATAAAGTCCATAATTATGTAACATCACACAAAGATTTGGGGCTAAAAGGGCCAGATTAATTGACTACATCTCAAATACCCTGTGTTTGTGTTGCACACACCCTATTTGTATAGTCCCAACCAATCATTTGGTGGGGATTACAGAGACATGGGTCGAAGACAGGTATTAAGAAATCCCACTCCACCATACTGTGTATTAGGTTTCTGACTAGCAGCATCTCCTGACTCACATAGCTATAGAAACTGGTGTATACAGAATCAGCAACAAAGATGACAGGCTGCTGGCTCATGGATTGTCAAGGTCAATGCATTCCAAGATCAGCGGGTAAAATAGTCGGCAGCTGGCTCACAGGCTGCACAGGTTGATGAATTCCAAGATCACATAGCTGTAAGATATGATGAGATGTAGGATCCAGAGCAAGCAAGTGAGTTTGCCCACATTTCCATATGTGGGAGTGGATTCCAATGTTCATGGAAAAATCAAATGGAAGGAAAAGGGAATTAAAAAAAAAATTAAAGCCCCTTTGTATATGGGGTACAGGCTACACCCCTGAGGAAACTCCACTTACAACCGGTTGAATAATCACATGGGGGGGTGTGTGTTACATCATTACATAACTCAGAACTGCCAAACTCTAGATTCTTTGCACAGCCATGTTGGCTCACAAACCTACCCATCACAGGTGATATGTGTTTAAACTTGATTATGCTTCCTAAGATAGTTGTATTTTACTCTACCTAATATTTCCCTTCTGAAAAGTTTTGATAGAATATAATATCTACCAATTTGCTATCACTCGCCATCAATTAATGGGCACTTAGTTTAACTGAGTTACTACATCTTGAGAGACATTCTTGGGTTGATGATAGCAAAACAGAAGTGAACAAGGCCCTTTCATAAATCCTCAAATCATTTTGAGGATTTTCCTAAAATACTTTGGGATTTGTATCACAATGATAGAAAAAAATTTCGTTATACATCACGGGTGATTATAGTCAAAAGTATGTGCACAGTACTAAATATTGAAAGAGCATGGTAAGAAAGTTGCCCCTTTTCCTCTCCACTGAACAGACTATGACCAAGAAAACATGCCGGTGATGGAACTGCCCCCGTTCCTGAATTTCTCCAGAGCCTGCAGTCCCAGCTGGCTCCGAGGGCAGGCAGGTGACCTCGGCGCCGATCCAGCACTTCTCCACTGAAGCCTGGAGCGCCCAGCCCGCAAATGAAGACGGGTCTGCAACCTAGACTATGCAGGCCACTGCATGGCTAGCAACAGCCAACGGGGTGGTCTTACACTTGTCCGTGGGCTTTTAGAAAATGGGAGGAAGGTTGATGGGAAAAACCCACCAATTTCTAAATAAGGAAAATTCCCTCTAAAGGAGGGAATCCATTTAAAGAGAATAAGTAAATATTAGTATAGATATTAGTAATCAAGATGGCAGTAAACAAATGATTGAACTTTGGGAAATAATCCAAAACCATCTGAGCCCACTCCACAATCCACTCTGCCCCCAGGTTCCTTAGTTAATGTTAATAGTTAACGCTATGTTATTATGCTCTTTGATGTACTTTGTACAATTGAATTGTTGATGCCTTTGCCTTCATCTCCAATCTGATTTTTTTGGTAGACTGCAATAAAATAACTCATACTATTTATAAATCTGGAAATCCAGCAGTTTGCTCAAAGTGGGATCTTTTAGAAGGACCTAAGGCGTTGTTTCCTAGTATTTTTCACCTGAGAACTACCATTAAGACACGGAAAGAAAATGAACCCTGGTCTATATCTTAATGCAAACGTTTCCTCCAGGGCTATTGCAAACAAACAAACACAAACCTCGCTGCCATTGAGTCAGTCTCAACTCATGATGGCCCTGTAAGAGGGAGTGGGCCTCCCCTCTGGGCTTCCGAGCCTACGGGAAGAGAAAGCTTCATGTGGTGCAAGTGGTGATTTGGGATCACTGACCTATGTTTAGCAGCCCAACATGTAATCCGCTCTGCCACCAGGGCCCCAGCATACATGTAAGCGGAGGGAAAGAGCTTGGGTGAAAATAAGGGAAAAGAGAAATTAGACTTCTGTTCACTCTGTTCACTTCCCAAGTGTTTGAATTTCTAAGCAAGAATATATTTGTGTACTAATGTTACACATAAAAGAAGATAAAGTAGGGAAATTTTTGGATTAGGATTGCATTCGTTCAGAATGGGTTTGGAGGCTCCGGTCAAGATATGGCCAGGGTTGAGGAGCTGATGCCAGGGGCTTAAGTGGAGAGCAAACATTTTGAGAATGAGGGCAATGAATGTACAAATGTGCTTTGCACAATTGATGTATGTATGGGTTGTGATAAGAGTTGTATGAGCCCCTAATAAAGTGATTTTTTTAAAAGGAGGAAATAAATAAACAGAAAAAATAGAAGAACAGGCATATGATAGTGGATGCATATGCAGCTGCAGGCCAAGGAACGCCAAGGATTACTAGAAGCCACCTGACGCCAAGCCAGAAGAGAGCCAGGGGACAGTTTTTATCCCAGAGCTCTCTAATGGAATCCCCCTGAATGGCATCCTGGTTTGGATTACCAGCCTCCAGAACTGCAAACAGCACATTTCTTTTCTAACAAACCACCTATTTTGTGCTACTCTTTACAATGGCCTCAGGACATAAATTTGCCTACTGTAAGTGCAAAAAAAGAAAACAGATTTGGCCAGGGAGACAAATCTAGGCATCGTATTTTTTAATAGCACCAATGACAATTAACATGAAGCTTCAAAAAGTTTGTGTAGAAATTCCATTACCTTTGATTCCATTTTCTACACATATTTTGAAGACTGTATCTAAATATAGTTTGATAACTCTAGTAATGATTTTGCTTTCAAATTTGAGATAGACTCCATCATATGGTGTGATTTTAATTTTTTTCCCCTTAAGCCCTTCAGTAGCCCACACTACCAAATCCACAACAGCAACTCTTGAGCGGATGCTGACTCCTAACAACCTCCTCCTGGGTTCCCAAGGCTATCAGTCTTCACTGGGGCAGACAGATTCATCTGTCTCCCGTGAAGTCCCTGGTGGCCTTGAGCTGGACCGTAGTTAGTAGTTCAAGGATTATTGGACAGACCATCAGGGTGCCTTTCAATCAGCCACAAGGTAATGCCAAATACTTGAGTGGTGAACAACTGCTGCCCGAGACCTCTGGACAGGGTTGAAAAACGAAAGCTTTGAGGATTACGACGCACTTGACCCAAGACCAAGACGTGATATTTTCATTTGCCCCATTTGAATGTGAAAGTTGGACGATGAATAAGGAAGACCAGGTTGATGCATTCGAGTTACGTCGTCGGTGAAAAATACTTGGGCTGCCAGAAGAATGAGCCCATCAGTCTTGAAAGAAGTCTTAGAAGTGAGAATGGCAAGAGCTCGTCTCGTGGAAACAAACATCATGTTTGGTAAAGTAGAAGGTCGATAAAACAGAGGACACCCCTCAAAGAGATGGATTGACACACTGGCTGCAACAGATGTAGCAAAGGTGAGGGTGGCCCAGGATTGGGCCGTGTTGCCTTCTGTGGCTCCTAGGGACACTCTGAGTTGCAGCTGACCGACGACACCCAACAGTGAATAACGGGAAGGGGCGCTATGCAAGCAGCTATGTGAAAGATGATATAAATATTAATCCTGTCTCTGAAAGATTAACAGCTTCTATCCTTTACAATCCAGTGCGAGTCGAAATCTCACCTGCACCAAGATTGAGGAGACTAAATGGCTGAGAAAAAACAAGCAGCATTTTCATTGGGTGTATGGTTTACCTGCAAGAGGTTACTTACCCTCTCCTCACACGGCTGACGAGAGCGGTTCTGAGCGCTGGCAATATGTCCTTCAAATATGCTCTGCATATTCACAGTAAATGCTGCTCGCTGAAAAGCCGCCAGTTTAAAGAATGGGGAATGTTGACGGTGGAGTTAATTTATGTAATTTCAGCATGGATTGTTGGGAATACCTCTGAGTAAAGAAAATGACTCCCATCTTAAGCAATTCATGTCCTCAGCAACATTGACACAGAATCTAATTTACTCTGCATGTGTACATAAATAAACTCTTACTTATGGGAAGAAATCAGGTTAGCCATGAAATTATCTAAATTCAGATACACTGAAAAATGCTATGAAATATAAGGTTAGGTTGCCTTTTCTATGCTTCCTTCATAAATACCCAACCCACTACCACTGCAGAAATAAGACCTCTGTTACCAGGAGGGAACTGAGTCAGGAAGTCAAAACAAGAGCTGTTTGGTTGTTGTTCAAAGGGAGAGATCAGGGAAGTGGTCACGCCTTCACGCGGTGCTTGGACAGCAGAAGTGGGTGGTGATGGAGCGTAACAGAGACACAATTCTTTATGCCTGTATTCCAACTCGCCCTTTTCTGGCACTTTCCTACACTGGTTAAGTGAGGATCCCAAAATGTTTACAGATAATAGGTTTTTATTTTTTAAGTGAGTATGTGCTTCTATTTTATGTATTTACTTCTAAATGAAAACATATATTTGGTTGTAGATAGCCTTAGCAGTTACTCTTTTTTGTTGTAAACGCATCACACAAATGTTGCCAGTTTAGCTTTTTACAGATGTTTAACTTACTAACAGCAATGACAGTAATAGTCTTTTATTTCCCTTTCCTTAGCTGATTACTATTTACACTCCTTGGTCATAAAGGATTAACTAGTGTTCTTATCTGGAAAGGGAAGATGACAGTTCTTTCTCTAAAGTATTGTTTCTTTGGATTATAGTAGAATTGATTTTTTTGCATATGATTTTTTTTCCAGGGGAGAGCGCAAACGCAGTCCCCCATTACAGCAAATTATGCAGTTGAGTTTCCCACATTTGGGGAAATTGCAGGGGTCAGCACATCCCGAGGGCAATGGGTGAGCCTCGCCCTGAGAAAATCACCTTCATGATCATGATATCTCCCTTGCTAGGTAAGTATTTTTAAAAAGACATGAAAGCGCATTTTTCCATAGAACATCTAAAGGGAACCTACTATATTTTGAGAATGTGTAAACAATAATAGTGCAGTTTTCCCATTTAGGAGTCAAAAATAATTCTATGAAACAATATATTCTAATGCCAGGGACCAGTCTCTTAATGGATTGAAACTGTAACAACAAATAAACTTCATAGTAAAGCATTTGATGATTGTGTTTATGATCATAGCTTCCCTCATAGTGAAGACTGAAATAATTTTCTAGCTGAGTGGTCTCCATTCTTCATGACAGCCGATTGATCTTGCAGACTAAGATTGATTATCTTCCTGAAAGCAGAAATCTGATCTTGTCATTGTTTGAAGGCTCTGCAGCCTTACTATTTGAGCAGCTTCTCAGAATCTGTGGGATTAAACCTTGAACTCCTTAACAGAGCACACGTAGGGCTCCAATTTTTCCTTCAAGTGCCATTTGCTACTATTCCAAAGAACTTACTCTGTTTCAACTCTCCTTGTACTTTCCCAAGTAAAGCACGTTTTCGCATATTAGTGCACACATACCTATACTTCGGCTCAACCTTACATTTCTATTGGCTGAGATGTCCTCTGCTTCGTTTAGATGTCTTGTCTGTGAAACCCGTGTTCTCATGGTGCTTTGTATTTGTGTCTCTACTATTTCATTGCCCACGTCACTTTACACTTAAATATCTGGCTCACCTACTAGGAGCTGTGCAAAACCATTGCTCTCTGTGCCTTAGGCATGCTGTGCTTGACATGCTATGGGCTCAATACATGCATAGTGAATACAACAAACAAAACTTCACAAATGCCTTTGGTAAACGTGCATTTTAGGAAGTTCCTAAAATAGTCCTTTTCCTCCCAAAGTTGGCATCTTAGGATTTATTCACTTCACATTATAACGCCCTTCTTTTACACGCATTCCTTACCTAACAATGACAGCAACAGAACCCTGACTCATAGCAACTGTGAGTTTCCAAGACTATAACTTTTTACCAGACTAGAAAGCTTGTCTTTCTCCTGCAGAGTGGTTGGTGCTTTTAAACGGCTGACCTTGCTGACAGCAGTCCAGCAAGTAATCAACACACCACCAGGGCTTTAGCTAAAGGGATATAAACAACAACAAAAGTGCGACGGCATCTCAGCCCAGCATTAATGGCATCTCAGCCCAGCATTAATAGCAACGTTCAAGACAAAATAATGAATGCTCATGAGGGTGTGGAGAGGCTGGAGCCAGCATCTGTCTAATGCTGATAGGATGATCAGATGGTGCAGCCACTGCGAGAAGTGGTTTGGCACGTCCTTAGAACGCTGGAAACAGAAATACCATCTAACTACACAATCCCCCTATGTTGTGTATGTCCTAAAGAAATGAGAGCGCTGGCATGAATATGCACCCTCATGTTCATTGCAGCGCTGTTCACAATAGCAAAAAGACGGAAGCAACTTAAATGCCCATCAGTGAAAGGATGAATAAACAAGCTATGGTACGTACACGCAATGGAATACTACTTACTGTCAAGGAATAAGAGGAATCTCTGAAATACTTCATTACATGAATGAACCTGGGGGACGTGAGGTTGCTCATCGTAAAATAAAAGGACAGAGATAAATTAATGAAGGGACCGTGGAACATAAAGGAATGTCAAGGACTGCCAGGATCCACCCAAAGCTAGAGCATTCTTCTGTAAAGCGCTCAGAGAGTATGGCCTTGATTGGGACTTCTACAGGGTCGCTGAAGAAGTCCTGGTGGCGCTGTGATTGGACTGCTAACTTCAAGGTCAGTAGTTTGTAACCACCAGCCACTCTGAGGGAGAAAGACAAAGCTTTCTACTCCTGTCAGGGCTACAGTCTTGGAAGTCCACAGGAGCGGTTCTACCCGGTCCTAACGGTCATGAGGAGTCCGAATCGACTTGACGGGAGTGAGATAGGGTGACTATAAGTCACCATCTATTCAATGGAAGGGCGTGAGCCTCCAGGACTGTGAAGAAATAACATTCATTGGTTGAAGCCATCCAGTTTCTTCCAATTGATTACCGCAGCCCTGTAATTAAAACTACTATATAGAATAGTCTTTTACCACAATACAATTGTGCTTGAAGTCAACCGCAGAAAGATAACTAGAAATATTAATATTTTTGGAAATGAAGGGATCTACATCAACCATGGGCCAAATAAATAATTCATCTGAAATTATAAAATATTATGAACTGAGTGATATAAAAATACTACACCTCAAACCGTGGCATGTATTTGAAACCATATAGTGAGGTTGATTATCCTTGAAAATAATGATAGTAGAAAAGAAGTGAGGCTTCCAGTAAAGCTGGCAGAAATAGGCCATTAAAATCAACCGAACAAGCTTTTAAGATCCTGGGTGCTACTGCCGTCGGATGAAGAACATTGTCTTTGCAGATGATGTTATGCCACTTGACCTTGGTGTCCCTGTGAGACTAATGTCCAGCAACACATTCCCTCCAGCTGTTTCATTATGTCTAAGAAGTGTCCACTTATCTGCCCCTGGTATGTTCCACTACATTCATGGATTTATTTGCAGCACATATAAATACACATGTAGGAGTATGCTCTCTCAAAGCTATATATATTTGTGGATAAGCAACCTTCTAAAGTGCAGCTTTTGGTCTCTCCTCCTTCTGAGCAAAGAAGGAAACCAAAGACATAAGGAAACGATTAGTCCAAAGGACTAAGGGACCAAGTGAAGCTCAGCCTGCATGCTGTTGGGATCAGAACAAGAGCATCCCTGGCTGTTCCTGTTGACCTCTCTGAAAGGGATTGCAGTAGGAGGTGCTGTATAGAATGGGCTGAGAGAGACTGATGGAACTCCTAACACTACAGCACTTAGGACCCTTTGGGCTTGGAATTGAACTTACTACCTTGCCTCAAGTTTCAGTCAAACTACGGACAAAGAGGCTTTCAACTTTAAACATTACAGTGTCTTAAAACAGTATTTTATGAAAAAGATCAGGAGTTGACTACAGAAAATCCAAAATATCGCTCAATACTTACTGTGCTAAAATAGATGATCAGACTTTATCACTTACTGCTTTATTCATCCTTTACACGTTGTTTTAGATGTAGACAATGACTTGCTTTTCTTTGTGTTACCATATTTTGAGATGGGACCTACTAAAAATGGACCAAACTGAGCCACAAATTCAAGTAACTACCCCAAATTTCCATTTTGTGTGGACCCAAACACTTTATTTCTTCATTTAAAAAAGTCTACATTTGGCAATTGCTATGACTGCAAAAATTTATTGAAAACAGCTGTCCAATACTGACATTTTCATTAATTTGCATTTCCATGTCATGAGTTATGCCAAGATCATGCCTTTGGTTTAAATAGGAGAACAAATAATCTCTGTGCAAGGAACTATTATCATGCTTATCAGTCATATTTGGGTTGCATGAATTGTGAAATCCATCCATAGCAATCAAGTATGAAATGTTTTAGCACAAATAGTTTGCATACACAACAGTACACAGAGCCAGCTGATGGAGAATACAGTCACCACTACAGTTAATACCTGTCACCATTAGTGTTGCACCCTAGAAATATACTCTGGCTACAAAAACTTGTGTGTTTTGGCACACATTTTCAAATGGTCCACTGTGATGTTGACAATCAATTGTTTCTCTTTCAATCTAATAACTTACATTATTGGTGGGGGAAAGCCTTCCACAAGCAGGATCTGCATTTCTATCATTTATGGGGTCTAGAGATATGACCATTGCATATTCTAAAATGTTTCATTTTTTTAGATAAATATTCTGTTTTATGCTTTATGTTTCAAGCTCAGACAATTCTGTTTACTCTAGGCACCTTCAAATAAAAATGAATCATTTTATGGGAGGCTCTTACAGCTCATATCACAATCCACACATACATCCATTGTGTCAACCACATTTGTACATATGTTTTCAGCATCATTTTCAAAACATTTTCTTTCTACTTGAGCTCTTGGTATCAGCTCATACCCCCCAACCCTCCTTCATGAGCCCTTGATAATTTATAGATGATTATTTGTTTTCATGTCTTTCACTGACTGCTGTCTCCTTTCACCCACTTTTCTGTTGTCCATCTCCCTGGGCAGGGGTTATATATAGATCATTGTAATTGGTTCCCCATTTCTCCCCTCATCTTCCCCTTCCCCTCCTGGTATCAATACTCTCATTATTGGTCCTGAGGGGCTTATCTGTCGTGGATTCCCTGTGTTGTGAGCTCTTATGTGTAGCAGTGTACATGCTCTGATCTAGCCAGATTTGTAAGGTAGATTTGGGATCATGATAATGGTGGGGAGGAAGCAATAAAGAACTAGAGGAAAGTTGTATGTTTCTTTGGTGCTGTACTGCACCCTGGCTGGCTCGTCTCTTCCATGTGAACCTTCTGTAAGGGGATGTCTAATTGTCTACAGATGGGCTTTGGGCATCCACTCTGCACTCCCCCTCATTCACATTGATATGATTTTTTTTGTTGTTCTGGGTCTTTGATGTGTGATACCTGATCCCATCGACACCTCATGATCACACAGGTTGGTGTGCTTCTTCCATGTGGGCTTTGTTGCTTCTCAGCTAGATGCCCCCTTGTTTATCCTCAAGCCTTTAAGATCCCAGATGCCAAATCAAATGTTTCCCTTTCTACACCATGATTATTATTATTACTATTTAAGTATATTAAGGAATGGATGCAGAATTTCGAACCAATTCTGTTGTACTGACATTGCTATTTGTAATATCATACTCTCAGTACTCTTACAAGGTTTGTACCCCATTCAGCTCAAGCATTCAGTGGAAGAGGCTCTTCTGATTCATTACACTTTAAAAAGGAAGTGTCTTTATCTAGACCTCTATAAATTCCCTTTGCCTCCCAGCTCTTTCCTCTATTTCCCTTGACTTTCCTCCTGTCCCACTATCATGCTCAGCCCTCGCCAGGGTTTCAGCAGTTCCTCTTTGTTACATTACCCTTG